GAGAGCACATAACAATGTAGGGGAGCGACCCAATTCAAATACGCTCATTTCAAAGGACAATGGAGTTGATTGAGGGGTAATCGGTGTGCAGATAAGATCTGATTTAAATATAGTCAAAAGACCTCCGCCCCTGCGATGTGCTCTTGGAATGTTAATGAAGGAGCATCCATGAGGTAGCAGTTCAGCTATTGAGGCTGAATCCCCAGGGGTGATCCATGATTCAGTGGCGCATAAAACATCCAGGCTATTGTTCTGGAAGAATTCGTTCAAAATAAAAGTTTTATTTCCAACCGATCTGGCGTTGATCAGCGCAAAGCAAGTCAACTGAGTATCCGATTGTAGGGAAAGTCCGTTTCTATCAGATCTCGCAACATACAGGCGGTTGGCGGGATTTCTTCCCCGCTGAATGAGCCGGCCAGAACGAGAGCGGCCGAGACGCGCGTGGGCACCCAGCTGGCGAATCATCCTCACATCCCACGCGCTCATGCAGCTCCCCGATCCGAGAGCTCCCAGCCGGCAGGACATCCTCGTTTCAGATGCATCCATGGAACATCCAGCTCCGTATGCTCCCAGCAGCAGCGAGATCGGCCCAACATGGTTGAGATGATGCTGGATCCGCCACATCACAGCCGCAGAGCAGCGCTCCGATATTGCCTCGCCGCACCGGATCCTTCGGAGCTGAACGAAGAAGCCGCCTCGTTTCCCCCGTTTCCTTCTCCACGGTCTCCGAGGCAGCGGCAGACCAACAGGCATCACAAGCCCGAAGGCTTGGCTAATATCAGTCTCCAGCGGCGGTGGGAAAGCATGGGGCCCTAAAGTTAGGTTAGCGTTAGTCTCCAGCGGCGGTGGAAAAGGGGGTCCCGCATTATAATACTGGAGGTTGTCCATTCAAGACCGGATCGAGAGCAGGAAGTCACGCCAGCAGAGAATCAGCACTATATATCAAACAAACAAAAAAATAGAAAAGAAAAACAAAAAAGGTCGGGAGCCGAGCAGACACGCAGCCGACCAAGGGCGCCATCTTGCTTCGATGCTTCGATGGCGCCCTTCGATTAGAGGAAAACGACACTATACTTAAAATTGCATTCCTAACTTCTAAGTCATTAGATGCACTCACTGAGTCAGAACAGTTGGAGCTTACCAATCAGCAGCTCAAGTTAGATGAGATATATAAATGAAAAGCGCAAGGTGCCTTTGTTAGATCTCGTCGCAAGTGGCTCGAAGAGGGCGAGCAGAACTCTGCATATTTCTTTAGCCTAGAAAAGCAGCAATCTAGAATTAACTCCATTCAGCAATTAAGAATTGATGGAACAATCATTGATGACCCAAAGAAAATTTCTCAGTATTGCGCCAAGTTTTATAGTGATCTTTACAGCTCAAGATATTGCTCTCAGGAAGCTTCTACCTTTTTAATTCTATCCCTAATATTAATCAGATTTCTGAAGCTGACTCTGATTTTTGTGATGCCTCTATTTCACTGAAGGAAATTACTAATGCTATTAACCAGCTAAAAATAAACAAATCACCTGGAACGGATGGCTTTACTGCAGAATTTTACAAGCAATTTTCTCAGAGCCTAGCTCCGTTTTTAAAGGAAGTTTTTGCTGAGAGTGTTTTCAAAGGCTCCTTACCTCCTACATTAACTCAAGGATTAATTGCTCTCATTCCTAAACCAAAGAAAGACTGCCTCCTACTGGACAACTGGCGACCTATTTCTTTACTAAACAATGACTATAAGATATTTGCCACGATACTTGCTAAGAGGCTGAAATCTGTGCTTGACTCTATTATTGATGAAAGTCAGTCGGGGTTAATGCGTAATAGACATATCTCAAACAATGTTAGATTGATATTAGATTTATTAGATTATTCTGAGTTAGTTCATGACGATAGCTTTGTCCTTTTCCTGGACTTCTATAAGGCCTTTGACTCCCTGGAGCATGATTTTATAATGGAAGCCCTAAAAAAGTTTGGTTTTGGACAGTTCTTTTGTAAATCTGTCCAAACTTTGTACAATAATGGAAATAGTTCTATCAAATTAAGCAATGGCACATCCCCAAGGTTTGATTTAAAGCGGGGAGTACGGCAAGGGTGCCCCCTCTCTGTTTATCTGTTTCTTCTTGCTGCCCAACTCCTTAATCTGCACATTAAAAACAGTAACATTAAAGGCATTAGTATCGCTAATAATCATATTTTAATTAGTCAGTTGGCAGATGACACAGCTCTGTTTCTGGCAGATGCCTCACAGGTTTCAGTTGCACTTAACTTTATTTGTTGTTTTTCCAAAGCTTCTGGCCTCATCCTTAATCTGAACAAATGTGAATTGCTTCCAGTGCATAATTGCTCTGCTCCTGTAATCTGTAATATTCCTGTAAAAGTCTCAGTCACTTATCTCGGCTTTCATAACACTAAAGATAGAGAAGCCAGAGGGAAGTTAAACTTTCTTCCCCTCATTGAAAAAACTCAGAAGGTTTTCAACCGGTGGACGCAAAGAGATCTTTCTCTAAAAGGCAGAGTTCTGATCACCAAAGCGGAAGGCATTTCTCGTTTAACATATGCTGCTCAATCGTTACACGTAGATAACTCCTTCTGTAAATCTATAGACAAGATGTTATTTAATTTTCTCTGGAAAGGAAAAACTCATTACATCCGTAAGTCTGTAGTTTTAAATTCATACAACAGAGGGGGCTTAAATTTTATAGACTTTAGCTCCCTCAATAATACATTTAAAATAAATTGGATCAAGCAATATCTCAAAAACCCTACTTCCATATGGAATTTCATTCCTCATCATGTCTTTTCACAATTAGGTGGCCTAAATTTTATTCTGCTCTGTAATTACAAAATGCAGAAAATTCCAATTAAACTCTCCAACTTTCACCAACAGGTTTTTTTAGCATGGGCAATGCTTTACAAGCACAACTTCTCTCCACAGAGATGTTATATCTGGAACAACTATAATGTTGTCTATAAGAACAAGTCTCTTTTTTATGAAAAATGGTTCAACACAGGTATTATACTAGTCAGTCAGCTCTTTAATGAGAATGGACTGCTATATAGTTATTCAGAATTTCTTGCCAAATATAAAATTCCAATAAGCCCAAAAGAATTTTCTATAGTATTTGATGCTGTGCCCTCAGGTCTTCGTATGTTATTTAAGACTGCTCGTGTCTGTCCTCCGTTATCAGCATCACCTTCGGATCTAACTCTGCTTCGACTAGGCAAAGTCTGTTTTTCTACCTATAAAACATCGAACTCCAAAATTAGATCTTTATTTCAGGCTGACTTGGTCTCTATTTCACCTGCAACTGTCTATTGGGACAGGTTTGGACATAACGTAGACTGGGGAAAAGTCTGGTCCCTACCACAGAAGTTTCTTTTGACCAACAAAATTAAAGAAATCTCTTTTAAAATTCTACACAGGTTTTACCCCACAAAGGTATGTTTGAGTAGGTTTAAGAAGGATATTGATGTAAAGTGTTCATTTTGCAACTTACACTTTGAAACTACTTCACATTTATTCTGGACGTGCGAATTTACTTACAAGTTTTGGAAAGACGTCAATTCATTCTTAACTCACAACATTCTTCCTGATTTCTCCCTGTACTATAAAAATGTCATTTTTGGTTGTTTTGGAGGCAGTGGTAAAGATAACGATGCACTCTTTCTGATAAACTTGATTTTATTTGTTGCTAAGTTCCATATCCATAAATCTAAACTCTGTAATAAAAAACCCTTTTTTCCTGTGCTAAGAGCAGAACTGGAACAGTATATATCCACCAGTTCTTGTGTACAAAACAAAAAAGCAGTTAAAACTCTGAATACTTGTACGCTGTTTAATGTACTTGTTTAATTACTCTTGTGTTTACTTCATTTCTGTTTATGTATTTTGGTTATTTTCCTTTTACTCTCTTGTGTATGTATTACATCTTTTTGTATTATTTTCCATATTTGTATGTCTGACTGTTTGATTGAAGGATTTAAATTAAAAAAAATAATAAAAAAAGACTCGGGTTTGGATCTAACTTCCGCGTTTATTGCTCGGACTGTATCGCAAGATCTCGAAAATCCCGCGCATGCTTGTTTGCCCCCCTCAGGTCTCCGCACCTGAGCGGAGCCGTTGTAGAGCGGGTACCAGTTGAGTTCGGAAGCGAGCGGCTGCGGAAGGCGGGGGCGGACCGGAGCGGAGCGGAGGTAGTGGAATTTGGGGGTTGGAGATACTAGTACATAAGGTAATTCTCAAAATCTCTTCCCACCCCATCCAATAATCAATTCTTGGACCTAAACCATGAATAACTTTCCAAACCTGGATGTAGACATCTCCATATATCAGTTAAATTGTTTTCTGTCATACAGCTTTTAACAACATCAAACACTCTAAGTTCTGATATCACATTTGTTATACTGCCCATGAGTATTTTATTTTGTCCATCATTGTCATATCCATAAATGTTATAATAAGAAACAGACTTTCTACCTTCAAAACCACTGCAAGCCGGTGACCATCTCCATCATCTCTATGTGTTAAAACTTCTCTGGGGCACTTATTCAAACATATTGCCACGCCAACTGAACGATTGGAGCCATGGCTAAAAAAAGATCTTGTCTCCCCATTGATTAGTTCAAAAAGCTTCTTCCACATCAGCCGAATGAGTCTCTTGCAAAAGTAAACATTGAGATCTTTGGCCTTTACAAAAAAAAAGTGCTTTTCTTTCTACACTGTCTTTCAGCCCCCCCCCCCCCCCCCCCCCCCCCAAAGATGCAGAATCAGTCACTGACAAGTGACAACAAACTTCATGAGAGGCAGAAGACACAGCTTTAGGCAAATAGCTGCTTTTACACAACAACAGCAACCTAATAACAACAACAACAACAACAACAATAATAATAATAATAATAATAATAATAATAATAATAATAATAATAATAATAATAATAATAATAATAATAATAATAATAATATCATGTTCTTTGTTTCCCTTCCGTGCCGCTGGGGGCGCCAGCGTGCCGAGCCGTTATCTTTAATCCGCTTTTAAGCTCACCGGAAGCCCGTCAGCATCATCATGCCTGCTGCTGTAACTATGGAGGAACAGTTTGATAAATTATTAGAGCAGTCTGAAGCTCAGGAGCTGGAGGTAAACGGATAAACATTTTTTTTCCGCGTGGATCTTTATTATGTGACACGGTCCTTGTTTGTCACGGAGTTGTTGTGATGTTTTAATCCGTTAGCGGAGCAGCTGAGAAAGTGAAGGATGCCTTGGCATCCGAAGACAGTGAGACTATTAACGCAGACACGGTAGCTCTGATTATACCACGTTTAAATAAATGTCTCTACAGGAGGAACTGAGAGTTAATTCAGAGTTTTACTCCGTTAGCTTGTTTAGTAGCTTGTCAGAGTTAGCCTGACGAGCTACTGCTCAGATTTATCAGGTTTGTTTTTGTTGGCCTGTCATCGACTCTACTAAACTAACTGCCTTTAGGCTAGCAGGTTAACTTTAACGGGAGCTTCTTTAACGGCAGCTGTCCTGTCCCCGTGTCCCGTCCTGTTAGCGGAAGCTAACGAGAACCCCTTTGCTGAAAGTCTGCGCTAAAACTAAGTACCGGAAAACAAACGTTCCTTCTCTTTAAGTGACGCTGATAATAAGTTTAGTAGAGTTTTATCTGTCAACGTGCCTGCATTATTCCCACCAGGCTCCAGGGGGCGTCGCGACACCGCAGGTGTACGCGCAGCTGCTGGCTCTGTACCTGCTCAACAACGACATGTAAGTCCGTCTGTGGGTTTCTTCAGAGGATGGATTCGATCTAAAGGGATGTCTTTTATTTAAACATCAGCTTATCTGCTGCAGATGGATGAATGTGGGTGAAAATTAAATGGATTTTATTATAATGACTAAAATAAGGGAAATTTCTTGACCCTTCGAGGGTCAAGTTGTGTTTTGTTGGATCAGAGCTTGTCGGCGGCAGAGAGGAGTGAGATGTGATCTGCTGTAGTGTTGAAGGATTGGATTTACTAGTCCAATCAGGTCCCAATCCACACCTGTGGTCATGAGATATAAGATCCTGGACACAAACAGCCCAAATCAGCATCCTGCACAAGCTTTGAGCCTTAGAGGTGAGCTGAGGGAGCTACAAGTAGAGCTGCTGCAGCTCCTCATCAACGGATGATGAGGTGGATTAATGATCACCTCTCTGTGGAGGGTTTCCAAACACTGTGAGGCCAACCCAGAACTGTCTGGAGGAACTTCATCTGTGGACCGATAGCACCTTAGGATCCCCTGGGTTAGGTGGAGGGTGTCACTGGGGTGAGGGAGGTCTGCACCCCCACCTCCCTTTATCCTTTTCTCTGAGCAAAAATTAATTCATGCATTTTATCCAATAAACTATTTTAACTCTTAACAGAATTGTTCAACCTTAGGAGTGAATATGTAAAAAACACATTTTTAAGTGTGAAATAGCATTTTTTGTTTACTTTCTCAGTAAAATATTAAACATGAAAGTAATTAAATGTTGATATTTGTTTTTAGTATAAAAGTATCAGTAAATGGCTCTGGAGGCAGAAGAGCATCTGACTCCCCAGTTGTTTACTAGTTTCTGGTTCTGTCATCAGGATCTGGGTCAGTCTTTCTGCTGTTGCTGGATTTTGTCACATTTATGAGCGGAGATGTGATCCCAGGTTCATGTCGGGCAGATTTCTGATCTTTTCTGTTGTTGAAAGTGTTTGCTGGTGTTTGTGGACTCACCTGAGCTGATTATGGTCCAACAGGAACAACGGCCGGTATCTCTGGAAGAGGATACCCCAGGCGATAAAATCTGTGAGTTGGTGTTTTAAACACATCTCTGCTTCCCACTGAAACATTTTAAAACCTCCTGCTTTAAATTTGTGTTTCACATTAATGTCAGATTTTAATTCTCCTACATGGCGTGTCCGTAAAGTTTCCTGCTCTTTCAGCAACCGATACTCCAGATTATTACACATTTCACTTCAGTATAATCCAACAGATTCACCAGCTGATGGTATTTTCTGCTGAATCCATTTTATTTGTAGTGATGCTGAAATGCAAACAGTGTTTTTTTGTTTGGATCAGTTTCTGACTCTGATCTGCACAGAAAACTCGAACACAGAAGGACTTGAGCTGCCACTGTTGCAGAAACTAAAGTATGCAGGAGGTGGGAGCTCTCCCAGCGGCCTGAGAGCGTCTGCCCCATTGACTGAAGCCTTCTGAGATGCTTTTCTGTCTTGCTGCTCGCAGGCTAACCCTGAGCTAGCAGCCATTTGGGCTGTCGGCCAGCACATTTGGCAGAGAGATTTTCCAGGAATCTACACGGCCATCGCAGCTCACCAGTGGTCGGAGAACATTCTTCCAGTCATGGAGGCCCTTCGAGGTAACTGACGTGTTGTAAACATTTCTGATTTATATCTGGGAACATCACGCCTCACCTCTGCTCTGATCTCCTCCTCCAACATTTAAAGATTCCCCCTCCGATGATTTGATTTGCCTCCTTCTCACAGTCGTGTGACGGTTGTGCAAGAGATAAGAATAACTTCTCCTGATGTTGATCTGCTGATGAACTCTGTCATAAACAGTTTGGTAACTCCTGATGGCACCTGCTGGATGATGTAACCCAGATGCCACTTTATTCCTCCTTTAATTCATTCTGATATCATTTATTCCCTTTTAATTTATCCTCATAAACACTTTTAATTTAGATTTTCAAAACTATTAAAACTTGTTCTTTTCCCTTTTTTCATAATTAACATTATTGTTGTGTATTTTACCCACATTTATTGTTTACTTTTTTCCTAAATAAGCTTCAAAGATGTCTCCTGAACTATATCAGCATCTAATCACAGTTAAAACCTAAATAATGAATCATTTCAAGTTTCTTATTTTAATTCTGCTTCGTTTTTTAATCTCATTAGAATATTTTGTGATTAAACATCAGATGAGCTAAATTAATGCATTCATAAATAATTAAAAAAACTGGAAACAGTAAAAACAGACTTGATTTGTTTTATCAACCACAGGAAATCGACGTAGATGACACAAACCGTTATCGTCGAGCAGCTCAGATTTTTCACTTTTCTCGATAAAAAGTCACAAATAAATAAATACAGGAAGATGAATAATATTTACATGAGAAAACAACAGGTCAGAATGTCCTAAAAGCTTTTTCTAGGAACAAAAACTAAAACAGACACGAGAGCCGGACGATGAAACGATGTTGTGAAAAAACACGATGTTGATGCTCGCTTGTTTACCGGCGGGGCTGACTTCCCTCCCTCAGAACCGATCACATGCACCCTGTTTGTCTCAGATCCATCCACCATTTCAGTCTCCGTTGGACGGAACGCAGTGCGGTGCCCACTGGGACATGTGACATCCAGGGAGGAGGGGGTCATTTCTGTGAAAAGGTCCCAAGCCGGACAAGCAGGCAGGAATGTTTGCTCCCGCTGGTGGAAACGGATCAGGTGTCACCAGCTGTGAGGACTGGTATAAAGGACGGAGTGCTGAGCTCTCCTCCAGAATAGACACCAACATTCTACAGCTGACTTCACTTTGAGGACAACGTCTTCCAGTCTGCTCTACGGGTTTTTGAAGCGATTTGTCTTCAAGTTTCTCTCTCTGAGACTTTGGAAACTTTTTAGTCAAGTTTAAGGACAGAGACTGTTGCACTATGGACGTCCAGAGGTCTGGGTCTTTGGTTCGACCCCCCAGCCCCATGGACAGCCTGGAGAAGCAGCTGAGCTGTCCCATCTGCCTGGACATGTTCACCAAGCCGGTGGTGATCCTGCCCTGCCAGCACAACCTGTGCCGTAGCTGCGCCAGCGACCTCTACGACTCGCGCAACCCGTACCGATTCTCCGGTGGCGTCTTCCGCTGTCCCACCTGCCGCTTCGAGGTCGTCCTCGACCGACATGGCGTTCACGGCCTCCAGCGCAACCTGTTGGTGGAAAACATTATAGACCTCTATAAGCAGCAGCAGGAAGGTAAAAACGACAGCACAGAAACGCTGAAGCCTAAAGAATGCAAAGAGCCCATGTGCCAAGAGCACGACGACGAGAGAATCAACATCTACTGTGTGACCTGCCAGGTTCCCACCTGCTCCATGTGCAAAGTGTTTGGCCAGCATAAAGACTGCGAGGTGGCGCCACTACCGAACATCTACCAAACCCAGAAAAGTGAACTGAGCAATGCCATCGATAACCTGGTATCCAGCAACAGCCGTCTGCAGGCCCTGCTCAGCCAGATGGAAGACACCTGCCGTGTCGTCCAGGAGAATGCTCAGCGGGCTAAACAAGGGCTAGCTGAGCGCTTTGACCTCCTGTACGCCATCCTGGAAGAGCGCAAGGGCATTCTACTGGAGCAGATTGGAAAAGAGCAGGATGAGAAGGTGGCGGCGCTGCGAGCTCTGGCCCAGCGATACGGTGAGCGGCTGCAGGCGAGCACAGAGCTGACGGATACGGCCGTAAGGGCTTTGGAGCAGAGCGGAGCCGCAGAATTCCTGTTGGCGTCCAAAGGCCTCATCACAAAGACCAAAGACGCTGCCAAGGCTTCGCTGGGCGAAGAGAGGCCCGAGCCAGGCTTCGAGAAGATGGACCACTTCACCTTGTCAACAGAACACGTGGAAGCGGTCCTAGCAAAGATGGACTTTGGTGCTGGTGATGATGAAGAGTTTGAGGATGCAGAGGAAGAAGAGGAGTAAGACGTGGTTAGAAACAGGCTTTAGACGATGTTTCGTTGGTGTTCATCAGAAGGACTCTGCTGGATTCTATCAGTGCAATATTTATTATTGTTTTGTTAACTTTTTTATACTTTTGTATCTCAAAGCCAGTTTAATGGAAGGAGTTTAGCGTTCTAACATTTTGTTCTTTGTCACGTTCTGTTGATGTAACCATAACCTGATCTGTATTTACTGATACTTGAAATAAAGTTGCATGATTTGTTCCCCAGTTTGCATCACTGTTTACTTCATTTCCAACATGGTTCCGCTGGGACTCTTAACAGAAGCTGCTGTTAGGATCTTCTTTAACGTGCTTCCCCTGAAACGTGACCTGGCTCTCGTTTCTGGATTTTTAAAAAGCGCCCGTGCTCTTCGCTCTGCTTTGCCTTTGCTGGTGAGAAGTCAGAGCTATTTTTAAGAGGTGAGAGCGAACCAGGAATAGAGCGTGCAGGAAGACAGGACAGGTCCTGTTTCTGCTCCATAAACGCCCACTCATGGATATCTTGCTCAGCACCTCCGACCCAAAGTTGAAGTGTCAGAGAGGCTGCGCTAAGAAAAGGACCGACCAGCTGTCAGACGATCCATCTCCACTCAGCCAAAAGGCCGGGGAGGTAAAAATATTCCCCAGGCCTCAAAATCCCCTGAAAGTGACCTCCTCCTCAGGGTCAGGCCCTGGTGGAGAGAGAGTCCATGGTCCGGTCTTACCGGGTCAGTCCTCCACCAGCGCACTGACAGCTGGGATCAGCTGTTTCTGCTGCAGTGCACTATGGGTAAGGGGAAGGATCAAAGATTAGAGGAAAGTAAGGGGTGGGGGGGGGGCTCCTTATTTTGAGTCTGATGGATTTTAATTAGACAGAATTTCTCCCATTTATCCCAGTATTTTTTATATGTATCCCTGGATAATCTTAATGAAAATGTAATACGTTCCATGTTTTGGATGTGTTGGACTATTTTCTTCCAGTCCCGTGTGGTACGCCCAGTCTTATTTAACCACTTACGGGTAATAGGTTTCTTGCAGGCTGCTTGTAGTATCTGTAAGAGGTATCTGTCTTTTTCCAACATCTGATGGGATATTCCCCTGGTAAAAAACGTCAAAACCCTCTGACAGTTTAAGATTTACAACCCGTTTGATTTCGGCAATCACCTCTTTCCAAAATGCAGTTATCCTTGGACATGCCCAGAAGATGTGAAAGTGGTCTACTGGAGATTGGCCACATTCTCTCCTGCATCTCCCGAGTGAAGTATTTTTGCTTTGGAGTTCCTTTATTTTAGGAGTAATGAAAAATCTCATAGTATTCCTCCAGGAAAATTCCCTCCATTCCTCTGAACAGGTAGTAGTTCTAACAGTGTTGCATATGTTAGACCAGTCAGCGTCTGACAGTGTTAAGTTAGCCTCTTTTTCCCATTTGAGTTTGATATATGTTGTAGAATTTCTTTTTTCCATCATTAAAATAGAGAAAACTGTTGAAATTTGTTTTCGGTTAAGATTTCCTTTACCTGTTTCGATAAAAGTTTTGACGAGAAGATGAATTTCATTGATTTTCAAGTTATGTTCATAATAATGTCTAATTTGGAGGTATCTAATAAAAGTCTAATTTCTCTAAATTATAGTTTGTTACCATCTGTTGAAAGCTATTTAACCCTCGATCTGTTGTTATTTTCCAATAGGCTGTGACGCCCTGCTCAGCCCACAATTTAAATCTTGAATCTAATTTTGTGGGTAGAAAATTTGAGTCATAAGCTGGACAACGTAATATTTTTGTGTCTGTCTCAATTTTGCCATTTTTAAATTTTTTCAGCCAGATGGTGAGTGGCACTTTTATCAGATTTGGATTCTTATTCATTAATGACTGTATTATTAATCTGTCACCTGCCATGGCAGACAGAGGAAGGTGTGTTTCTTTTTGAACTATGTCTTTCCATTTAGCATCATTGTTTGGATCACAACAAGCTAGAAAAGTTTTCAGCTGAGCAGCTTCGTAATAACTTTCTAAGGATGACTGCTAGTCCGCCTTTATTTTTGGGCAGCTTCGAGGTTTCCGCTCTGGTCCTTGGTCTCAGTTTTCCCCAAATAAATTTCAGAATCATTCTATTCCATTTTGCAAATTGGACAGGGGGGATTTCTACTGGTAGTGCTAAAAATAGAAAGAGTAGTTTTGGTAATATTGTCATTTTTATTAGGTCAATCCTATGGTACATGTTTAATGGTAACAGTTGCCATCTGGATAAACTAGCTTCAATGCTGTCTATCATGGGGGGGGGGGGGGGGGGGATTAAATCCCAATGTATTTTATAACTTTATTGTTCCAATTGCCCTTAAAAAGTTTAAAAATGTGTTTATGTGGTTTATAATTAAAGGTTAAGATCTGTGCTTTATGGAGGTTTAATTTATAGCCTGAGTGACTGCCAAATATCTTGAGTGTTTGTATTAGAGCTGGTATGCTCTGGTCTGGGATTGCATTTAAACAAATTTTATATTGTCGTTCAGGATGGATACCCCTGCAATTTCCTCACAGTCTCGAATGGACTGTGCGAGGGGTTCAGTGTATAGTGCAAACAGGGCCGGACTTAAGGGACATCCTTGTCTGCATCCTCTTTCCAAAGGGAAGGGCTTGGATTGGTCTCCGTTTATCTTTATCCTAGCTACCGGTGAGTTATATACATTTTTGAGGCAGCCCATTATTTGATTATTAAATCCAAATCTCTTGAGTACATCGAATAGAAATTCCCATCCAACTGAATCGAAGGCCTTTTCTGCCTTAGTATTTTTTATGTAATGAATATTTTGAAAGGCTCTTTTCACGTTGTCGTGGGTTTGTCTACTTTTAAGAAAGCCTGTTTGATCCGTATCTATGAGCCGAGGTAAGATATTTTCTAGATGTTTAGATAAGAACGAAGCAAATATTTTATAATCTAAATTTAATATAGAGATGGGACGATACGAGCTGCATTCTGACTTTTCCTTCCCCTGTTTAAATATCACTGATATCAGGGCGTATTTCCAGGATGCCGGAGGCGTTCCTCCCTCTGGTACGTGGTTGAAGCATTGACATAATAAAGGTGTTAAAACCTGTCCGAAGGATATGTACCACTCGGAAGTGGGAGCTGATCGGTGGATTCCAGTATCCCTCTTCTTTCCATGTCTGCTGTAGCATCGAGTATGTCCTTGTAGGTTACTGGGCCTGATGCATAGTAGACTCGCAGACGCACCGGGTAGAGGATCTGATTACGCACGTCTTCTTCCATGCCTTCCTCTTCGCCAGCACCTCTGTTGTATGGTCTTGTTCAAAAAAGATTATTTTCTCATTGTGCTCGATCTCTTTTTTTCCCCATGCTGTGCGTAGTACCATTTCTTTAGTTTTATACTCCAGAAAGCAAACGATAATGGATCTTGGGTTGCGTCGGGGGAGGTTGTGGTCCCAGGGATCAGTGACATCGCTGTATCCCCAAGTGTGTATCTCACAGTCCCAACGCTGTTTTTATGAAGGAGTTGATGAAGGCGGAGATGTTTGTTCCTTCTGCCCCCTCCAGCACGCAATGTATCCGAATATTGTTTCTGCGCGACCTCGCCTCTAGGTCCGAGATTTTAATCTGGAGTAGTTCTTGGGTATCTAATGCTTGAGTGAGGATTTCGTGGAGATCCACACAAAATTCCTCTGTTTCGGTTGTTCTCATCTCTGCCTCCTCCACTCTTTGAGACATTTCCTTTAAGTCGGTTGATATCATGTTTAGTTTTCCATTCATTTCTTCCTTAAGTTCTGTTTTGTCAGTCTTTTTTCAGTAACCCTGATACGGCGCCGACTTCTTTTTGGACGTCTGCCCGTGTTTCTTTGACTTCAACAATAATGCTCGCTCTAATAGCATCCATGCTTTCGGATTTGGTTAGCTTACTGTCGTTAGCCTTGTCTGGTTCACCTTTTCCCGATGGAGAGGCTTGTTTATGCATCTTGTTTTGCATGTTTCCTCTTGCCTTTCTTTTAGCTCCCCCTTCCATACTATGGTTTGCCCATCCAAAATGGTAATTGTTGGGGGAGTGTTGAACCCTGCTCGGAGCCGAAGGATTACACAGCCTCTCGCCTCTCCGCCATACTGGAAGTTCTTCATTCACATTTCTGCCATAGTCCAACAGACTGAACCGACTCAGATACGTACAAAAGTCTGAGTCGTGAGCAAAACGGTTAATCGGCATAATCTTTCTGCTGCTTTTGGAGCAAACATGGAGGACAGGAACCACTTGGACATCAGGGTTAAAATTCCTAACAAACGTTCTGGCCTTCCCCTGCACAGCTGTCTCTCCTCATCCCAAATGTTATTGTTACCGCCGCTAACCGCTTCAGCAGACTGTTGGTACACAATCAGCAGTTGCTAGGTTATAAAGCCTGAGAGGACACAACCCTGAGGCGTTTATGTGATAGCTGCTGGAGCAGCAGCCAGTACACGTCAACATGTGTTGGTGTGAGACCCCATCACTCCCTGTAATCTCACCGTCTGACAGATAAACGGGTCGGTTTGCAGGTTGCTGCCCGATAAGGCCGTTCTGCCTGAACAGGATTTATTTAGAACCTGGGTTTGTGTGAAGTTCATCACGGTCACTCGCTGCAGTCCGAAACCCTGGAGATGCAGCTCCGATGGGAACGTCGGCTCGGCTTTTGGATACTCACGTTAGAGGAGGAGATGCTCAACTTTCGTAACTAATTTATTCACTTAAATAATTCAGGAGGAACCCGCTGTGAATAATGTTATTCCTGCACAGTCGGTCTCTGTTGGAGACGCAGAACTGCAAGGAAAAGGAACATTTTCCATTTGGATTCAAAGTTCATTATGATGTTTATGTTTGTTTATGTATTTAGCAGACGCTTTTGTCCAAAGCGACTTACAAGTGATAATCGGCATGTTGCCCTTGAGGCTAACAACAACAATGATGGAGAGTAAACAGGAAGATTATCTTATTGATTCTTATTTATTTGTCTAAATGAAAACAAAGTGAACCCCGATGATCGCTGCTGTCTCCTGATGAACGACTCTTCAGCAGATGTTTACACGACTGGATGTGTGAAGGACGTGTTCAGACGCTCCAGCCACCGTCTCTTCCTGTTATACATCATGCTTTGTGTTCTTTTTGCTGTTTGAACAGACCCAGAACACAGATTTACCTCATGTGTCATCCATATGCACCCCACTGACACCCGTGTTTGTCTGCAGAGAGCACACGGCAGCGGGCGTACAGCCTGGTGGCTCAGGCGTACACGTCCATTGCTGTGGAGGACTTCGCTGCCTTCGTGGACTACTCGGTGGATGAGGCAGTAAAAGGTGAGCTCATGTTTACACCTGTGTTGTTTTAACAGTGATCCACACGTGTGTTTAATTCTGTTTACTGATGTTTTCTTTGTGAAGGAGTGTTGAGTCAAGGCTGGCAGGCAGATCCCACCACCAGGATGGTCATGCCCAAGAAGCCAGGTAGGGGGTGCTGCTGTCTTAGTCAATCTGTCTTCTTCTCCCTTGTAATCCTTGTGAGAAATTTATGGATTTTTCCCTTTAGAATGTTTAATTTTTCAGAACTTTCCAACATTTTGTCTCCTAGTTCAGATAATTTATCAAGATTTAAAAACTGTTAGAAGTTAGACGGATTCGTCCTCACTAGGATGTAGGGAGGAGGAATTAGTCATGTACACACACAGGTTACACACACACACAGGTTACACACACACAGGTTACACACACACGTGTGTGTACACATACACACGCACGCACACACACATAAACACACGCACACACATGTGTACACAAACACACACACGCATGCACACATACACGCACACACACACACACACACACACACACACACACACACACACACACACACACACACACACACACATGTGTACACAAACACACACACGCATGCACACATACACGCACACACACACACACACACACACACACACACACACACACGCACACACAAACACATGCGCACACACATACACATGCATGCACACACACGCACACAAACACATACACACACGCATGCACACACACATACACACGCATGCACTCACACAGTCTCCAAGAAAATTTTGACTTTGATTTTCAGTTTCAAAATAAATTGTTATAATCAAATTTAACTCATTCACTGCCAATACTGTGTGGGCATCAGGACGAGCCCCCGCACCGTGAGAACAAACATCTCAGCTCTAAAGCTGATCTTCATCTGCATACGTCACACGTCACGTGATCAGGAAGCAGAACATCCATGTGTTAGGAGATCGTTTTGGGCCCTTGCTGTAAAAAAAGTGAGGCACGAACTGGAAAAGCTTCTGATCACAATTCAACAACGATTTATGAAAGAACGGATAACGCTCGAAATGCGCAAATTCTCCCTCATGTAACTGCTCCAACACACCTGATTCCAGTCGGCAGGTGATTAACAGGCTTCTGCAGAGCCTGATGAGCTGCTGCAGGTGATTCAAGCACTGAATCAGCCAACCCTGACCGAGCACGTGACCGAGCACTAAAACGTGCCGGTACTGCCCTTCGAGGCGTAGAATTGAATACCCCAGCTTTATAGTTTATAGAAAAGGTTTGTTGGTAAAACTGCTGCGAGGAATTCTGGGAAGTTTTTTACGGCTAAAGATGGAAGTTAGCGTTTGAGCTTAAAGAATTTCTTTGTTACACAGCAACCTTATTTTGTGAAAGGTTTGATGTCACAATCCCCTTCTGTGTGTGAGTAGGACTTGTGAGACCGTAGTTCTTTCACAAAAGGCATTCTGGGATTTGTAGGTTGTTGCATCTTTCCTGTTTTATTTCACTTTTTCAAAACTTTTATTTTGACATTTATTTTCCTCACAATAAGTTTTTTATTTCTCATATTTTTACAATTTTTTAAATCAGACTTTAGACATTTTTGATAGTTTGTTTAACATTTAGACTTTATTTAGATCCCAGCTGATCTCTTAGTGGCGTGTTTTTAGCGCTGCCTCTAGCGTGCTCTGTGGTTTTCTATGTGAGGTCCCTGCCTGCCCGTGTGGTACCAGACAGGTTAAACGGCTGGTTGTAACTGGAGCCTGAACATGTGGGCCGTGGCTGCAGAGTTGAAACCAAAGAGCGATGGGATGTTATCACCCCTCCACCTCCGTCTGTTCCAACAGATCCTCCTCCGGTCGCCCTGGTTCCAAACGAGCAGCAGTTGGCCAGACTCACCGACTATGTGGCCTTCCTGGAGAACTGAAGCTTCAGCTGCAGAGTTTCACCTGTTTGGTACCGAAGAAGACGGGTTTGGACGGACTCTTGGTCCATCCTGAAAGACCTGGCTCTCCCGGTGGAGAATGTTCTGGTTCACTGGGAGTTTATCGAGTCGGAGACTCGTTTTTCTCCTCTCCCTCTTGTCATGATGTGTACATTTGGGTCTGAGCTCAAAGTGTTTCTGACTGTTTTTGTTTCCAGCATAATAAACTCGTCCCTCACAAATGCTTTATTCAGGTTCAGCAGCTAAAAGTTAGCAGGAGTCCTGCCTGACCTCGTATTTAAGTTGCTGTTGATGAATAAATATTCTGCTGTTTCTAACCACTGACTGGTCGTGTCTCGCTCGGCTCAGCACGTTGACTTCACTGACACAAATGAGTCACATACAAGGCCATAAATGTGTTGGTAAGTGGATATTGGAGCTAATTATAAAACAAAATCTGATGAAGCATTGGTGTAAATACATCTGGCCACCGGCTGCTCATCACTGCCACATAGAAGGAAAATCTGTATTTTTAGTCCTCTTCAGACCGTTTGTAAGCATCGTGTCAGAGCTGGGAGAAGATGTGGTTTAGTGTTTATAACTCTAGTTACCGCCTGATATGTTTTATAATCGCACATTTAAATGCGGACGACTTCCTTCTGCATGGATCCTTCCTAGAAATACGATAAGTAAAATGTTTTCTCGTTTATCTCCTGGTATAAATCCGTTTGATTCTAACAGCAGATCTGATCCAGGATCTGTCTGTGCTGTTCTCACAAATAGGAAGTCACTCGTGTTGAGACATGTTTTACAGCAGCTTGCCTCCAGATCTGAACTCGGACACAGCTGGGTCACGTGGGAAACCATGCTTGGAAGAATCCTTTATAATCTACAACAGCAACACCTGAAGCCAGGCTGACCACCGGCCAATCAGCTGAGCTGGTTGGAGCGCGGTGTTGATGGGTCACCGGTTCCATCCCTGTACGGGTCAAAACGATCTCAAATGAACTGAAATCTGGGGAAAAGTAGACATTTCCTGAACTAAAGAGGAATTATCAGCATCCACGGTATGAGTCGGAACTTCCTCTAACCCTCCACGATGAGTCTCAAACACACATACCTCAAAAGAATCCACTTCAACAGTAGCTGAGCTATGAAACTCAAGCAGAGATCATATTTTAAGGACTTGTGGGTCTCCAGCCCTGGTCAGCTCAAACACTTAACAGGTGAATCAGTCGCGGAACCATGTGTGGGCAGAGAAACAACTAAAACGTGCAGGTTGTGGGGGCGCCTGAGGAGCAGGGTTGGAGCCCCCCGTTGAGGAGCCTGTACCGGTTCCTCTGCTGCAGCAGGAGACAACCCAAGCCCCACATCTCATTATTTATGGTTTGAACTACAGAAAGGCCAGTAACTGGAGAGGATGGAGCACCAGGGGGTCTGACTTTAATCTTTACTCAATCTTTTTCTTCACAACTGACTAACTGTTGGAGTCAGCTCAACTCAAGATGGCTGCTGCAGCTTATTGACAGTAAAATCTATCATTATTCAGTTGGTTTAAGTAAGTAAGTAAAGTTTATTTATATAGCGCCTTTCACAGATATAAATCACAAAGCGCTGTACAACATGAGTAAAAGAGACTGAGCAAACGTCCGGTACAAACTCTGACGGGTTTAAAATGCTCCAAGCAATTCTAGACTTTTATTTTGGTAGTGCTGACCGTTATGATTCTGTGGTTTTAGAAACAACCGTCTTCAGGGGTCCAAATCAAAAACGAATCATTTTAAATCAAGAGATGACTGCAAACATCCTCCTGAGTTTAGCAGCACGTTTGTTTGTGGGAGCAGACGTGAACGAGATAGCTGCTCACATCAAAGCATTCCTCTGCACTTTTAGGGCACAAACCACAGAGGGAATGTTGGCTTTTGCACTGGCGACGTTCATTCTTCCACTTCCTTTCTGCCCAGACTGTTTTTGAGGCCATCATGAAAAAAGCTAATGAGAAAGTCCTGAGTCGATACTAAATCAGCCTCCTGGTCCAGTGGAGCCGAGCTGTGATCTGGGAACTTTTACTGCTTCAGCTCCAGCAGCAGGTCAAACCTTTCTGACCACTTCCTGTTTCCTTCACTGCTCTTCAGCTTCAAACCCACAAAAAACAATCCTGGCCTCAAATCTGCTGGTTTACTGTTTAAAAACAAGCAGCTTCCACTCCTCTTTTTTATTCAACATAGCAAAAAAGTGGAGTCAAGCCTGCAGATTTAATTTCTGCAGGTTTGAAAAACTCAAATGATTTTTTCACAATCTCATCTCTGTCCTTCCCGCCAGTGGAAACGGTTTCATTTGTCATACGACAGCAAACACTTTTTAGCATCTGAACAAATAACACAATAAAAAACAGAGATTTAAAAGACTGAAAGTCAGAAAAGCACGAAGGTTTGAGACGCAGCCTGTAGTTTATTCTATTTGACCTTCAGAGCGTTGCTCCTAACTCTGAACTGTTCAGATTGGTCCCACCAGAGCGCTAACACGTTTCAGCTGCTGCTACAGAAATAGCCTTCGTTTGCTGAGTTGCTCGCTTCTTACATGCGAGCTGCTCCACATTGCAGAACTCTTTCTGATGTTTCCAGTCTGGCCTGCTGCTGCGTTTGAAGTGGCTGAGATCACTGCTTCAGATTTTCTCTCCTGCTCTGTTTGCTCCGAGCCGCCAGACGGATTCCTGCAGTTCTCCCAAACAGAAGAATCAAAGAGCAGAAAATCTGTCTCTCTGCTCCTCTTTTAAATGAAATTCAGCTTAAGTGAAAATAACAACATGGTGCTTTAGGAGGCTGCTCTGGGTCTGGAGCACATGTTATGTTTTCCAGGTACTTAAAAAGCGACTGCTTCACTAAATCACACATTCCTCTGACGTGATGTCATAGAGCTGCAGTTCCGTGGGGCGGCACACTGACTTGTGCTTATTTAACCTTCCATTTCTATAAATCTCCTCCTTTACTCAACACAGCTCAGAAAACTGACTCAGTGCTAAACTGCACTTTAATCGGCTCCGGTTTTCCTTTGTTGCATCTCTGCTGATTGGTGCCAATTCCTGTTTTAGGAACGTTTTCTCTCAAGTGTAGTTTGAGTTCGGCCCGAGGAAAGACGCTGACTCATTAACCATTTCATGGCTTTGGAGAAACATGTTTTATAGCACAGAGGTCAGTCAGGATGACCTCTGTTATGTCTGAGAATGTAGTCAAATGGTCACTGGTTGCTCCTCGCTGTGCATTCAGTGACAAACTGGAACTTCAGACTTTTTATTATCTTTCCTGGCTAATGAAGTTGCCGTTTCTGATCAGAATTAGATCATTTATTTTATACTTGCACAAAGGAACCCAGAACGTTCTGACACTCAGTGAATGCATCATGATAGAAAGTGACCTGTTGTACACAAACAGACCCTTCAAAACCAGAATGTCAGCGAATTAGATTGTTTCAGGGGTGAGTTCATCATGTTTTTAGTGGTGGAGACTCAAAACAATCCTCCCAGTCTAAGAAACGGCTGTCAGGGTGCAGCCTGCTGCAGAGTCCGTAGGGGGCAACCTCCACCAGCTCGTGGTGTCGTCCCAGTGCCTGTAAGCACTTGTGTTACTGCATCACATAAGGCATAAAACCTTCATCAGACTAAGCTTGGTTCCATTTTTATAAAGCGGCGGGACCCGGGAATGAAAATGTTAACGGCGGTAAAAACAACCTCCTCCAGGTCATCAGAGAAAACGTTTCCATGTGGGATGATGAGTCATGAGCATGGGACCGAGGGGAGGGATCCGGGAGGATGTGGGAAACAAACTGGTGATGAGAAAAAGGGAGGAATTAGGGAAAATCGGGAGGAGGGATGGTGTAAAGATGGGAGGTGAAATGCTGTGGAGGCGTTTCTGAACCAGCGCCAGGTGGACTAAAATTTCATGGACATTCAGAAACAGGCCGAAAGCATCTGGAAGCTTTAAAGCACAATGTAAAGTTTCTGTTCCTGCTGCATTTGCTGAGCTCTTCAGCAGTTTTAGACCCAATGTCCCGTTTCAGATGAAGAAAGTTGTCAGAATGACCCAATCCTGGATGTAACCCCTGCAGGAACAGAAGACTCTTTCAGTGCAGATGTTTTCTTGGCCCTTGGACCTCTCTCACTTCTCTAATCCAAGAGGTTTCCTAATCTGTTCATAAAAAGTGGAGATCAGCTTGAATTGTCCTGCTGCCAGTTGATCCTGAATGCATCCTTTATGAGTTCTCCATGCAGCCTTTATTCCGATATTCTTCACCTCCAGAGGCTGTGTGAGGGGAAATTAGAGGACTGGACGGTAGCAGCAAAGGAACACAAAGCCTTGTTTTCCCTAAATATGGCTCCAATGTTGACTTTAATTTGAAGGGAAACATGAAATTTCCTTCTACTGCCAAAAGCGTTCCTAAATGTGACATGGTGCAAAGCTGAGACTGAAGGAATGACACGACAGAGAAAAAGCTGGAGCTCAAACACAATCCGTCTTTGTCAGAGGAATGACTCGGATCCAAACATCAGCTTTGAGCTTCTCTGGGAAGAAAATCCTCCTCCAGCCAACAGAAATTGTAAATCATTTTTATTGATAAACGTTTGTGCTGCTGGAAGTCAGACTGGGTTTTTATCTGAAGATTCAATCAGGTTGAAGGTTGAGAGTTCCATTCCCAACCAAGTGTCCTTGGAGTGGCACCAGAAACCTCTCAGATGTGAGTGACTCCTAATGTTTTTGACTTTGTTTTAGCTGAAATCCTCCTGGATGGACTTGAACCAAACCCCCAGAAAGTTCTGATCAGCTGTTGGAGCCAACCCAATTCAAGATGGCCACCACAGCTAATCAGCTTTCCCTCACATCCCACTCTGAGCACTAATGGATCCATCAGTCCATCAATAGATGGTCTTCATCAGTCCAGCAGAGACCATGAGTGAGGAAGGATGAAGCAGAAGTATAGCAGCAAGTTGGTGTGAAGTCCTGGAGCGGACTGTATGTTTTACTTACAGGTGATTCAACCAGTGAGAAACCACTAGAACATGCTGGATACCAACCCTCCAGGACCAGGAGTGGCACCCCTGCCTGAAGGAAGCTACAGTTTCACACCAGGAGCTCAACAAGAGATATAATACAGAAGTTACAGCAGAACATCTGGTAATGAGCTTAAAAAGGAAATGCAGGTTCATCAACTAACTCAAATGGTGGGTATCAGCAGTGAGATGGCCAAACAGTTGGCTAAGCAGCCAAAACGGTAAATGGCATGTATTTGTATAGGGCCTTCTTAGGATTCTCCAACCCCCCAAGGTGCTTCACAACACAACCCA